AAGCGATGGAAAGTGGAAACGAATTCCAGGCTAGATTCAGTCTTGTTGTTGTCATCTATAAATTTACCTGGTGGGGAACTGGTGAGTGTAGTTCACGCAGAGCAGTGTCAGAGCCCTGTCGTCTTCTGCTTCCGTGGCAGAAGCCGAGGCACTGGGAAGCTCTGGAGCTCATCCCACAGTTAGCACAAGGGTAGCGTTGGGTTTTGAGGGTGGGTCTGTAGTGCTCCAATATCTTTAACTCTCAGTGTTATTTGGAAACAAACACATCAGAAATCCAAAGGCAGGCCAGTCAGTCTGGTTTTCCTTTGGTGACTGGATTGTGTTTTGCACGGCATCCCAAGGTCCCACCACGGCGTAGGTATTAACTGATGTTTTCTCGTTCTGAGCGATGTGTAACTTTTCTTGCCTCCTGCGTTTCAGAGAAGGAGATCAGCACAAGATGAGCTTGCTATGAGGGACTATCTGCAGGAAGGGGACCTCATAAGCGTATCCTTCTGCTCGTGCTCAGACAGAGGAGCCAAGGGGCACGAGGAGAACAGCCAGCCTCGGCCAGCCTGGCTGGTAGTGCGAGCTCTCAGCCGGGGGGCGGCCAGCGGCAGTTGGCCCTGGGCAGCATTACAGACCTTGTTTCCTTAAGTGGCACTGACAGGCAGAGGTCCAGTCTATATTTTCTGATGGGGCTGTATCGCTGCACACCCGGAGTCTGAAATATGGGAAGGTAAGTTGTCCAAAAGCACTTGGTCTTGGTGTAATTCTGCTCCAGTTGACTTGTATAAGGCCGCTTGGAGGGTTTTTTAAGAAAAAAAAGCTCTGGAATAGAGCAGGATGTTGTTATAGCCCGTTCCTGCAGGTTGGGAAGAGTCTTAGCTTGTATGTAAGGAGCACCGAGCGGAGTTTCCTGAAAGCGGAGGGAGTGCCCTTGAGCTGCCCTTTGAGCTGCTGCCCTCCCTGCCCCCAATTACAGCCTGTGAGTCCTTTTTCCCCCACTAGCTGCCTGGGAATTTAACCCCGGGGAGAAAAATCTTCTGACTCCAACTTCATCACTCCACTTCTGCAGGCCACTGCCCCTGTGACTTGTTTCTCTCTCCAGGGCTCTGTTTTAGGCTTTACGCAGTTGGCATTTACCTCTGGTTTTGTGCACTGAAGTAAGCCAAGGGGCTACTGGAGCGTGGGCTGCAGTTTGGGATTACCAGACCGAGGGAATTAGCACGGAAAAGATGAAAGCGAAGTGTGCTTGTTGCACAAAGGGTGAAGGACAGTGATTGGATTAAGAGGGAGAGTGTTCTGCTAAATTTGGCCTCTCGGTCCTTATTTTTCTGCAGGGATGGTTGATGTGTAGCTACGATCAAGGTACTTTTAACATGCGTGCTGAGCACTTAGAGTATTCTTCATCTTCAAAGGACTGCACAGGCATTAGCTAATCCTCCCAGCACTCCCAGAGGCAGGCAGGTTTTAGAGTCACTGTTTCACAGGAAAAGGTGTTAAAATTGACTGGTTCCTAGACCAGGAGTGGAGTGCATGTCAGTGACTTCATGTTATCTATGGTGGCTCATGTCTCTTATGCCGAGTCTCCTGGTTTCCTCTTCAGCTTGGCCAGGGTGTGCTTGTTCAGGTCTCGCCCTCCCTGGTGAAACGCCAGAAGACTCACTTCCACGACTTGCCTTGTGGTGCATCCGTGATCCTTGGCAACAACGGTTTCATCTGGATCTACCCAACTCCAGAGCAGAAAGATGAAGAGGCAGGGGGCTTCACCACCAACTTGGAGGTGAGGGTTCAGGGAAGGTCCTACCAACGATGTTTTCTTACTCTAACATAGTCGGAGGCACATGAATAACCTGAGACTTTCAAGATTTGCTCTTAGGTTCATGGTGAAGCGTTTTTACAGTAGGCTCACATTATTTCCCTCTGTGTTCATCTCTTTTCCTCTGTCCTTCCTCAGCCAGTTTCCTTGTCTGACCGGGAGATCATATCACGGCTCCGAAACTGCATTGTGGCTCTGGTTACTCAGAAATTGATGCTCTTTGACACCAGCATCCTGTATTGCTATGAAGCATCCCTTCCTCATCAGGTACAGAAACCAGTGGTGTTTAATTTATTCCGCATGCTGGGGAGGGAATGGAAAGGCTGAATCAGTTGCTGCTGAAGTCAGTAAGTTAGGTGGTGGGGCTTCCTTTTGGCTTTCCAGAGCCCACTTAGCTAGATGGGATGTTCTTCAGAACTATACCTCTGTTTAAGTCATCTCTCCTCTTCCCAAATACTGATGTGTGTCTCTTCAGGAGAGATGAGGAGTTGTCGGTAGCGTCTCGTTTGATTTCTTATGGTCTGTGTAAAAATTGCTAATTCTGGCAAAGCTGACTTTGCCTTGGACCCTCTGCCATGATAGCCTTATTTGACTACAACCCTCTCAACAAACTTGCTGCTCATTGCTGTGTGCCAGGGCCCCTCGTCTCCATGGAGTGTGCAATAGTAGTAGTTGATTTTTGGTGCCAATGTTACTCTTTTTTCCACTCCAGATCAAGGACATTCTCAAACCAGAGGTGATGGAGGAGATCGTTCTGGAAACCCGACAGAGATTGCTGGATCTGGAGGGATAGGGCCGATGGCCAGAAGCAGTCATTTGAAGTCCCAGCATGGCAGCTTTTTATTCTGAGTACTTTTTTTTTTTTCAGTGTTCTAGTCCCCAACATTCATTCCACACTTCAGAAACCACCCAAATTCCTCATTTTAACTCGTAGGATACCTCCTGAGCCCTTTTTGTTCAATAGTACTAAATAGTACTTAAGTACAATAGCCTTTTAGTGCAGCAGCCTGAAAAACTGCTATCTGACCTTTATGAAGATGGAAATGCAACTGGAACATATCTCATAGCACTTGTTGCTGTGCCTGTTGCCCCTGAACTTTGTGCAGAATGATAGAGAGGAAGGGATGTGTTTTGTGATACTTCTCTCTCCTTAAAGGCTTCCTAAATGGTTTTGATGTTCCTTTACTGTGACAGAGATCTGCCAGTCTGTTCTCTGACTGAGAGCTCTTGTTTTTCTCTTTAAGACTGCAAATCACAGGTACAATTCTTTAGAGGACAGGGGTATCCACCCCACTTGCTAACCGCGTTTTGAGTCTGGCTGTTCATGGCTTCTGTGTCTCAAGGGTATGAGATTGGATGTGGGGTGACGTGGCTGTCCACATGAGCCAGGAGCCATGGGTGAGCAGTGTCTTCTCAGTCTATCTGCATCCTGCTGGTCTCTTTTTTTTTTTATGCTTGATGTGGTGAGCTCTTCCTCTGAGGAGGTTCCAGTATTGTTTTCTATTAAATATTTTACATTTCAATAAATTTTTTGAAACAGATCAGTCATTCAGGAGTGTGTGCATTAGTTGGTCTTTCTCCAGAATTAATCGGGTCTAGCTTGAGAGCTATGATTGGCTCAAGTTTCTTTGTGCCAGGACACTCAGAACAGTTGCAGTGTCCTGTTATCTCCTCTTCAGCTGTTGTTCCTCATCCCGTTCAAGCAGGACTTGACCTTCCTCTTCAGCATATCTTCTGTGCGGAGTTCCTCCGTAAGTAGGTTGCCTGGCATTGTTCACAGTGGCACTCTCAACATCGCTTCTCTGCAGGATCCTGTGGAGAGGTGAGTCGTGCAGCAGCTGTGTCTGGCGATGATGGGCAGCCCAGTGTGATGCTGGTGAAGATCCTTGGGTCAGCGGTTAGATGTTGGCATGGTGGGCCAGTTGTTGGCAGTCAGTCGCTTGCCTTCTCTGTGCAGAATGGATGTGATGCCTTCCTTAGAACATCCTCTCAGACCTCTGGTGCTATATTAGAGCTGTTTGTATCATATATGTGTTGTGTGTATATATTCTAGTTGTATTGTGTTAGAGCTGCTTGCACCACAGTGCTGTAATTCTTAAAAAGGATGAAAAAGCAAAATGTCTGCCCTAATTGTCCCTGAATCTAATTCTAGCGTTGCAAGTTCTCATGCTTGCCCCAGGCAAAAGGAAAAATTGTTTGCTCAGTCTTTTCCTAGGAACTAGAAATAACACATCGCTTCTTCTCATCTCGTTCCAACTGCTCTGCCTGCAGTCCGGAGGGAGCACTAGGTGGCAGCTTTGGATCATGTTTGTGGGATTTACATTCTCCAGCAGCTCTGCCTCATTGCCCTGCCAAATAGCAAAGGCTGGATGTCTGCCACCCGTGCTGCTACCTAAATACTTGAGCATTATGGAGCTCAGTGGCTAAGGACAAGCAAGGACATGGGTAATCCGTTCTGCTGCTGCACAGCTGAAACTTCTGCCCATGCTGCCTCTGTAAAATAATAATTAACTTCTCGGGAATATCAGTGGAATGCTCCACACAAGACCTGGGAGTTGTTATTTTTCGAGTTTTTTAAGGATTCCGTAGTAAGTGCTGCACCAGTCACATCCTCAAGATGATTTGGAAAATTTGAAAACTGAAGGTCGATGGTGACACTTTGAGGTCTGTGCATGGGGCTGGTGGCAGCATTATCTAAATCTGCGTGGACAGGAACAGCGCAAAAGGCTAAAAGCTTTAGCAGCCTCTGCATCTTTTAATTAGAAAGTACCTCTTTTTTCCTCTACCCCATTGCTGTAGTTTAGCAGCTGTTTATCTTATTACCATATAGGGAGATTCAGGGATTTATGCTGTGAGGCTTCTAGGTATAAGCAGATTGGGGATACACCAGCAATGAGATAAAGTATCTGATGTTCCCTGTTTTTAAAGCATTTTTGAAGGCTGATGGAGAGGTCTGTAGTTAATCCAGTAGATCTCTCCGTGTCTCTGCCACTTAAATTTAAACTCTCTGTCAGTTAAAGGGCAAAGGGGTGAAGAGGCTGTACTTCACTGCTTCCTAAAGAGATCTGATACCTGGAAATACTTCTGCTGAACTGGTGCACGAAGGCAGAATGCTTCTCTGTCCTCAAGCAACCTCTCTGCAGGCATCGAACAGATCAGAAAGGGGTTGGGGAGATTTTGAGGCTCTTGAAAGTGCTGGTGGAAACATGCTGAGGAAATGTGCTGTGGAGGTGGTTAATTTAGAGTTGGATCATGCTCGTGATCCAAGCATGAGCTATCAGACCTGCAAGGTGAGACAGTGCCAGACACAGATCTCAGGAAAACGGTGCTGCTGTCTCTGCAGCAGGCTGTGTGGGCTGCACAGCTGAGTTGTTACATATTTTTTCCTTCCCCCCCCCCACCTTATTCTTTTTGTCTCTCTACATAGCAATCTTTAAAACTGTGGTCTATTTGCAGGCGTCTTATGCTAGCCCTCTCTCCCCATTGTGAACCTTTTTCGGTTCTTTCTGCTCAATAAATGAGCATATAACATGAAAAAGAATGAGCCCAAGACCTGGACTGCTTTAGCTCTTGAGCTTCGATTCCTTCTGCTCGCTGCAGAGTTCCTGATATTTCGGCCTTGGGGATGTATTAAATCCCTTGAAGGGGGAGGGTGTGTGAGTCATCCCGTGCTCCCGAATACCTGGCACTTTTGTTTTTAAGCCTGAGAACAGGAGCACCAGCTGGTAAGGTTTGGTTATGGGTTTTATTCTGGTATGTGGAGGCAACTGAAGGTCTCGGTATTTTCCTCCCTGGCCACCAGGAGTCATGGCTGTTCTTTGTGAATTCATCCAGTGCTTTGCCAAGCCCAGACCGAAATTCTGTAATAAGGCTTCAGCGAGGGGATTGCTGGCAGGTCCTGCAACCCCACCAAGCACAGCTTTCCAAGCCAGCAGGTAACAAGAGATGAGAATGACAAACTTACATGGGGAGGGAGCAACGTCCTGAGCAGTTTCAAAGGTGTCTAAAAAGGTACCAGGCCAGCTGCCATTTGCTGTTGATTTGGCTGAATCCCTATGACTTTTCACTGTCTTGACAAATGTTGAGGGCCACCAGTGCTCATCCATCTCAAAAGCAACTGGATGTGCTGCTGGGGCTTGCGGTTCCCATATGGAGAGGCTTCAAGTATCACTGTTCAGCCATGACAGTCGTGACGATATGGCAAATTACTTTTCCCCTGCGCCCAGCAGAGATGAGTGAGGAGTCAGAGGGGGTGTGGGGGGAGGCTCTGGCATCTCGGGTAGGTGGGCGAGCTGAGGACCCTACCCTGAGGGCAGGTCTGCACGGGAGTATGGGCAGGCTGTATAAAAAATGCCTTTGAAATGAGAAGTGCTGGAAATGTAAAGGACTCCAGCAAAAGCAGTGTCCTCTTGGATTCTTGAAATAGTCTGTGGGATTTGTTCTCTTGAATTCTTGAAATAGTCTGTGGGAATTTGCTAGGTAACTTTGAAGCAGGAAGGGTGAAAAGGAAGAAACTATGGCTACTCTGGTTTAAGAACAAAACCAGTCAAAAGCAGAGTGGGGAGGAAGACTAATAAGCGTTCATTTTTACAGGGGGAACTAAAATGTCCATGCAGGCGTTAAAACAGCTTAGACCAATCTGTTTTCTTTGGTCACCAGTGTCTGACAGCGTGGAACCTGTTTGTAAACCAGCTGTAGCACCTGCCTGTGCTGCTTACTCCAGGGTTAATTCACGGCACAGATGTGCTTGAAAGTGGAGCTACTAAATAGTTCCCTTGCTGGTAAGTGCTGCCTGCAGAAACGAGAACACAAAATCGCTCATCTGTAGAAATAATTTTCCTGTTTCTTGGTGGCAGTGTTTGATTCATGTACTAATATGAAGAATGGCAGCTCCTCCCTTTACTCCCAGTAATAACCACTGGGATTTTAAATTTGTGCTAATGGGTTGTTAATCCAATTACTGCTGCTTGTTATGTTGCTTCTGTATCATCCACGTGCAGTTTTGCTGTTCAGTTGAGGTGAATGGTATAAACACAAAGCTTTGAGCAGATCCTAGAAGATACTGAAAACCCACAGATATTATAGGCAGTCTTGAAATGGTTGTCTCAGGTTCCTGAGAACTGCTAATTAATATGCTAGAGTTTATTATTTGGTAAAGAGGTTGAAGATTTATGATATTGTTATGGAGGAAACATCACTGCAACTGTTGGGTGTAACAACCCACACTTCATTGAAGGCAAACAGAAAAAGAATTGAAATTTCTTTTATGAAATATATGGCATGTACACTGGCCACATGCAAGGCTTGATTGAAAGAAACAATCTGTAGATTTTTAATTTGTTCTGCATTCACCTAATCTTTCTATCTCTGTCTTTTCATAATTTCTGAACCCACTGGACAACTTCAAGTTTGTTAACACAAGGCAATCATTCACAGAAACTGGCAGCGGGGTAGGGGATAGAAAAAATAATACCCTTCAGGAAGGAAAAGAGGACAGATATGCTGCTATGATATTTGGGAGTGAGCAGCTGGCCCATCTGCCCGTGTATAGCCCCAGATTAACTACAGCACTGCTTTGGGAGAGGAGAAATGCTTTTGGAGCAACTGCTGAGTGGAAAGAGGTCGGGGACTGCTGGCAAAGCACCTGCTCTGCTTTGCTGCTTGTCATTGCAAAGCATGATACAGCCTATATCGTCCAGAGCGCAGGTCCTGCTTACTTGCAATTACCTTTGAGTATTTAGTTCAAGGTCTTCCGAGTATCACGGACCTGTGGTTGTCTTCTGGAATTTGGTCTGCTTCAGCCCTGCCATGGTAGGAGAGATTATCCAGGATGCTCCAGTCAGACCCAGAAGGGAATAACTTCGTCAGTAAAAGATGGTTGGTATCGGGTTTTGTAACAAATTTCTCTCAGGCTGCTCGGCCTGTGTTGACAGACAGCTTTGTTTCCTCAGTTTCCTTCAATCCATGGGAGCTGAGCAGGGGGTTGGGTCACCCCTGTGAGAAGCTGATCTCCATTATTGAGATAATCCTAGAGGAATTCTACTGAGATGTGACTCTGGATTTGTCTCAGCATAATGTACCAGAATTTCACTCTCCTGCATGTGTGTAGCACAAACAGCCTCGGTACCTGCAGTTTGAGTCACTGATGGAGAAATG